TGCTCTTATACTCTGGTACAGCTCAAGATCATTTTAAAGCTATTCAGAAAAGGTTCATTTCTGTCCTGTGTATGTGACTTTTTTTTAGTATCGATACTTGCTCAAATGAGTATCCAGTTTCAATACTATTTTCAGTATCCATCATTATCTGATTTCCTTATTCCTTTCAAAACCAGTAAATCTCCCTTAGTGCTACAAAAGCCCTTGCCCACCATCTGAGATTATGACATCATCAGACTCTAGACTGTAAACGGAAGCTTTTCACCCCGTTACCGCCATGCCAAGAGAATTACCAATGCATTAGGCATTATGAAGCCAAGTAAAAAAATAAAATGATAGCTATCAGAATGGGAGAAAATTACCCTTCCCCCTGTAAAAGATCTACTAAATGATCCTGGACACCCGCTGGTTAGTTTAGCCGCTAAAGGTTAATATAGTTTGATAGAGAAAGGCTGCTCGATATGAATAAGGGAAGCAGCATGTGGCCGGGGTAATTGCTTCACTATCACAGCTCTGACCAGGTGTGAAATCAGATAAAGAGGTCATGCGTTTTAGATCACTCTCGGATATGAACAAAATGTAAAAAAAAATATCCAAAGAATGTTTTAATATGAAGCTCAGCAGGTCTGCAGCCTTTAGTTACACAAGGACTCAGTTTTTTCATTCATGTGACTTTAATTTCCTTTCACAAAACATGCTTTTAGTCGCCTTGAGATAAGTATTTCAGATTTTCTAACTTTAAATTATATCTACATTATGCATAGTTACAGTATATATGGAAAATACACTATAAACTACTCTACCATTTACAGTGTGTTATTTATACATTAGAGCTCCCCCTGCTGTCAGCAAAGGGAATTTACAAATTAAGCCTTTATTTTCTGTGAATGCTATGCTAAATGTGTTTGTTGTGAACACAATTTGACTGCAAAATAAGTCTGGTGATGGTTTATGGGCTTAAAACTGCAAAGAAGAAGTTTGGATTTTTACCTGTGAGGCAACAATCCAGGTAAAATGTCCTGGTGTTGATAAGAGTGGCAAAAGAATGTGTAGTGGTAGAAGTACAAAGGTTATTAGAACTACTTCAAACAAGAGACTTGGAGAGAAAGAAATGATTTGTGTACCAACATACATAAGAGGATGGCACATCGTACAACACATCTGTTTCGATTTAAATACAAATTTTAAAAATCCAGGTAAAATGTGAACTGAATATTTTTTTGTTTGCGCAGAGAAGACGACTTTGTATTAATGGATTAATGAAACAAAGATAAATGACGCAAAATACAACACAGGTATTTATTTGACGAGGGGACAACAACATAACTTTGTTAAAATTTAAGAGGTATTTATAGCTCAAAAGTACCTCAAAAGTAAATGCATTCTTACAGTGGTTGGACTCGCCTACACAAAGATCTGACGTATGACTAGGCCTAATGATATCACCTGTTTGTCTCAATGAAGATGGGTAATTTTAATGCCAACCAAAACACAACTCCAGAACAATACCGAAGATCCTACATTACACAAAATAGATTCTTGTGAGCTTTAAGCCAACTTAAAAAATAGACCCAGAGTTGTGTTTTGTTTCATTCACAGATCTTTGAGTAAATCTTTATTATTGGTTTGTCTACATCTCCAAAACTCAAAATGCTCGGTTCCAACTTGTGATGTCATGTAGTGGTAGTTTTCAAGTTAATATCTACTTTTTACCTTTTGTTCAGTAGAGATTGTCAATTCCAGGTCTTTAGCACATGACATCATAAAATAGAACTCAGCCTAAATATGCAGAGATTGTGAGTTAAACATGTGTGAGTGAAACAAAACACAACTCCAAGTATGTTTGTGATGGAAACAATATTAGAAAATAGATCAGGAAATGGCGTAAAATGGGCCCTTTAATATTATGCGACAGTATTTTGTCATGGATCAAAAAGAGTTCAGCTCAAGATAAGAGTCACGAGTCACAAGTCATGGTTTTTGTAACACATAAGTTCTTAATTTATTCCAAAACTTTGAGAAGAAAGTCAGGCCCTGATATTTCATTCTGTCCAATAAACATGCAACCTTTTTCTTCTGTGGTGCATAATGCGATGAAGACCTCCGCGCAGACAGATCGTTGACGAAGCCTCACCTTGAACTTTCCGGAAGTTCTGAGCCCGCACTCCACCACTTTATCAACTCAGGTCATTAAAAGGTATGAATAATTTACTGCATCAAATGAATAAATGACAATAAATATAATTGGATCTCCCTGTGCGGATAAGCCTTAATGATTAGATCTGCGGCGAGTTGATGTGAAATAACCTTCTGTGAGTTAGCTGGCTTAATTATAGGATCTTATAGGATATATGGTAAGTATAAGTGTATGTGTGCGTATGTCTGTGTGTGTGTGTGTGTGTGTATGTGTGTGTGTGGGAGCAACTGTCAGAGCAGGGGCCCTCACCGTTCACTCATGTAAAGCCGTTCAGATCTGTGGTCATGAATAATTCTGGGTTATTAACTTTGAGAAGGTGAAGACTCCGGGCCACTCAAGTGTTTGGATGTCATGGCTGTCGGGGGTTGTGCGTTCGTGCGCTGGTGTTGGTACGACTGGCAAAAGAATGTGTAGAAGTAGAAGTACAAAGGTAGATTCGGATATTGGTACTATTTCAAGCAAGAGAGACTTAGAGAAAGAAATCGTTTGTGTACCAACATATACGTAAGAGGGTTGCGCATCGTGCAACACATCTGTTTCGATTTAAATACCAATAAAAAATACTATCATATACTTGTATGTAGTTTCACTAGTAGTACCATGTAGCTACTGCCGAATTGATATGGGTGGTATTTTAATTCTACACATCCGTCTGGAACTGCACAAAGGTGGAACATCTTCTCGAACATTTGAAGCAGATTGGTCAAAGTGTTTCAACAGTGGATCCATATTTTAAAAGTCAATAGACATTATTTGTAAATCACAAAATAAAGGTGGATTTGACCATTAGTGAACATTAATGAGGATATTTTATTACTGACTGAGTGATCGTGTCTCTCTGAACAAGTAGTATTATTCAAGTTTTAAACAGTAATTGAAAAACAGTCATTGAATCAGCAATCAAAGGATCCATAAGTTGCCTATTTGGACATTAATTGTAGCCCATTTCTTTTTCTTTTCAACATTCAATTGAACCAGCAATACTGGAAAAAATAGTCAATAAAATAATTACAAAAAGAAATTATAGAAATTATACAAAATATTTCTAATGAGATAGGGAGATAGGAGTCTTTTTTGTAGTGCGTTCCACTCTGGGGTGCAGGAGGTGCAGCATTCAGTCCGTTTCTGTGCTTTGTCTTCATTTTTGTGAGCATAGAAAATCCCAATTCACACATGTATGTAGTAGTGAAAGGAATAAGCATAGAAATACTGGCCCCACTGAGGACAGGATATACTGATGAAATACTTATCCAGAATGATGATAAGGTCACAGATCAGGACTGTGTATTGCAGACCTACATGCAGATTGTGATAAGGAGACCCAAAAGGAATCTCTTGTGACCCAGTCGTTGCGAAACACTGGTATAAAACTTTTGAAGTTGATTGGTCAAAGTGTCTCAACAATGTAGAACTCAAACTTTTGTCTATATAGCTAAAATAGGCCAAAGTATGTCTGTCAGTGTTAGGTCTGTCACTATAACAAATTTTGAAATGTGATATGTTGCTGAAGAAAATACAGACAATAACCAACAATACTGAAACTACTTTAAATTGTGAAAATATCAGCTGCCATAAATAAATATCAGAATGGAAAACTTTAGTAGTTAGTTACTAAGACATGGACAGTATTTATTCAACACTCTACAACTCAGATATTTTAGTAGTACTGAAAAATAAAAAAAACTTTCCCACTAGTATAAAGAAAAAAGTACCCATGATAAACAATGGATATACACTGAATGATAATGTCTAGTCGGTGTTCCTGTGTTTGTTTTGGTTGGTTTGGGTGCTTCACCTCTGGCTTCTGCTCAGATCACAATGCTGCTCTGTGATTGGTCTAAACCACTGGTTAAACGGGCAATAGGCTCTATTCACGCTTACGTCACAAACCAGGAAGACGTTTGGAAACATGCGATGACAAGTTCCAGCGGGCTCTGTTCGCAGTAGTCTGACAAAATCGAGAAAAAAATTGTGAAAATGTCCCAGTTTTCTTCATCTACATGTCATTGTAGCGGTCCGTTATATTTGCCTAATCAACAATTACGACTGTACTTCAGTTTTCATCAATTTCCTCACTGAGTGCACTGGGTATATGCAACTAGAAGAGATGAGGGCGCCAAGTTTAAGATGATTCTAAAGAGCACACATGCATGCAGTCTTCATTTTACCACTGATTACATTTACTTCAGTGGGTTTTATCACAGTCGGTCGGCGAGCGCAGTGTCGGGAACTGCACCGGAAGTTGTCACTGCATGTTTCCAGACGTCTTCCTGGGTTGTGACGCAAGTGTGAATAGAGTGAGTTTTTGAACACACAAATATTGAGAGAATCCATCTTGCTAGGTTGCCAGGTTACTATGTTGTGGTGTTGTAGTTCTGGTATATTCAAAAACTATCCAGGAAACAAACTGTCAACTTTTGTGATTTTGCCAGCGTTAGCAGATGTTCTAATTTAGGCACAGTAAGTGACAAACAAACTTGTAAAAAACTGGAGCATAAATTCAGTTAGGAAAACCTTGTCCCTTCCTACCTTTGCAACTCAACTAATCACCTGTCAAGCCAGTTTTATACAAGGACTCGCACTCTTTCATTCATCCTACCATTTTAAATACAGACAACAATAACAACCCTCCTCCTTTTCTACCACAGCAGCAGAACCATTAGCCTCCTCAGCCTGTCAAATCCACATCCTTATCTCACCCTTATCTTATATCTTTCAATAAATTATTCATCGTACCACCCTCACTTATCTCTTTTTCATCTCTCCTTGAAATACCCTATATATGCGTGTTCGGTGCTCTTACCAGATGGTGGGAGCCCTCTTCGTCGTAGTCATCCACCCCTCCGTCGCTCATCTCTCCGGCCTCCGTCCCCAGGACCACCTCCCCTCCCTCGTCCCCGGAGTTGTCGGCCGCCTCGGACACGGACTCCTCGTGCAGGGAGTCGCAGTTGTCCTCGTACTTCCTCTGAGCTTCTGGAACAAAACAAAACATGACATCAAGTAAGTCCGTTTGATTTTCGGTTGTCGAGCATTTTTCAAGATGTTCTTTCTAACAAATCATACATAGAGTCCAAGGTTTAAAATTATGGTTATATTTAATCTTGAAGGAATTTGAACGGAACCATACTTCAGATTGGCAGGCAAACAATTCACCAATAGTACTACTTTGTGACCAGTGGAAACAGTTTAGGCTTGGCTAAGGAATGGAAAAAACAAACCAAAAAACAAAAACATCACAACTTTTAGAGCCAATTTCAATTTCATCAAATTTTTGAACACAAAGTAGTTTTTGGAGGCAATATAATTATTGTCAAACTTCACTGTGATTGGTTAAAACTACTTGTCAATCACTCAGAAACTGTCCAATAGAAAACCGTGTCTGTGTTTGTGTTTGAGCGTAGACCTGCAATCATCAGAAAAGCCCTGAATCCCATTACGACGCTATCACCAAATAGCACACTGTCACAAGGATCAGATCACAATTACATTTATATTGTCATATCACCCAACTCTAGTTTCAGCCAATTAAGTCTAAAAGATTAAAAGTATGGAAAACAACCGGGTCTCAATGGGGAAATTAGTGTTTTGTATTTGACTCATCGTTCAAAGTCATTGGAAAAACTTGTCAGGAGGAGTCCAGGGAGCCCGCTTCAGATCTTGAGTTGGATTCATGGGTCAATAATGTCAGATTTTAGACTAAAAGTTTGTTTGATTTTTATTATTTATTATTTGCAGTATTTTCAAACAGTCTTCATCAAGGGCAATACATGCAATTTTCAGATTTTGCAGATCTCAAAAACAAAGTTGTATTTGGACTGATTCGTGCACTCGACGTGATTCGTGATTCAATGCCATTTTGCCGAGCAACTCCCATTTTCACCACCACTGGCATAGACCTATTGCTCTGTACTAACTTTGTTCTTGAATTTTATTTCCTTAATTTGTGACAGGAGTAGGATTCAGAAGTGTAGCGTAGTCAATTTAGTACAAATGGAAAAAAAAAAATGCAGGTTGCTAGGGTGATGTACAGCTATCCATAGGAGGTACTGACAGCTGTGTGGCTCTTTGGCTATGTTCAGACTGCAGGGCTTAATGCTCACTTCGGATTTTTTCGTGAAATCAGATTTTTTTGCGTGGTCATTCCCATTTCCAATTAACTGTGATCTCCAGCTTCCAACTTTAAATGCCCCAAAAGTGTCTCGCATACACATTGGAGGACACGACGACTTCATACACACTGAACATGCTCAGTGTTTACGAAAGTTGTCTAAACGCTGGGCTTGTCTCACAAAATATGGTCCAGTTCTTCGTGACATGGACAGGTTACACGTCCACAGCCTCTTCGTTTGTTTGAGTCTTTAGCCTCCTTGTATTTGGCTCGCAGGCTCTTTATTTTACATTGCCATTGGAGCCAGGACCGCGCTCTCCCATTTCTTTGGCAATCATTTCAGAAACCGCCTGGTTCTGATAACACCCCTCCAATTTGGCCTGTATACAGTGTTCCCCCCCAAATATTAATTAACTCACTAACCTCGCTTTCCCTCCATAGACTAGACAGGTACTTTTTTATCATTTAACCAATCTCTGCTATTTGGTCGTGTTGTATGTAATGTGCTAACTAACGGGGCTAACTGGTATATTAAGCTTTTCCCAAATCCTGTAGGAAGAAGGGCAATAACGTCTTTCCACTTGATGAAATTCACCAAATATTCTCTTTATTCCGGCTTTAAATCCTCGATGTCATGAATCGTTGACAACACTGAATATATCACTCTTTGGTGATTGGCTGGTGCCTGAACTCGCACTTCTGAGGTTTTTGCGAACCGTCTGTTGTATTTTGATTCCTGACCTAGTTGCTGGAGAAAAATTAAATTGAGCAGAGGCACTAGGTGGCACCAGCCTGGCTAAAGATACAGGTCGCATAGGGGAGAAAAAATCAGATTTGGGTCGCTTCAGGCTGCAGTCTGAACATAGCCTTTGTTGCGATGACGTTTACAGTGACGACAGCTCCCACTGGGCTCCGCAGTTTTCTAACACGAAGTCAGCTCACTTGTCTCTTTTATTAAGTCATCAATAGTGTGATTTAAAATATAAAACTTATAACAATAAGCCATGGGTGTCAGATTTATCATAGATTCTAGCACAAGCAGAGTAAGTCTTCTCTAAGCTTGTCCCAGTTTCATGCTTCCTGACACATTTAAAGTTCGCCTGAAATCAATGGAACAGTTAAAATCATTGCAGTTTTGTTTCTAAGAGAACTATTTCCAGACAGTGTAGGACAGATATGGCTGGGGGTCATTTTGTCCCCCTCTGGGCACGAGCTGACAGCGCACCCACCACGGGCCTGACCTTAACAAGGCTCCAAGTGGTCCCGTCTACCATCTGTCTCCTCGCCTCTGCTACAGACGCCATGTGACTCCCCAACGCTGCTATTTTAGAACACGAGGTAACAGCTCCTGCCCAAAACTGCTCACTGTCAGGTGTGTTACAGAGACAAGGCAGAGAGGGAGGGAGAGGACAGAAAGAAAGAGGGAGAGAAAGAGAGGAGAGAGAGAGAGACAAAGAGAAGGAGAGATAGAGAGAGGAGGGAGTGTGTGTGTGAGAGAGGAAAGAAACAGAGAGGAAGAAAGAGGGAGAGAGAGTGTGAGAGGGAAAGAGAGACTGAGAGAGAAAGAGAGAGATTGTGAGAGAGATAAAGAGAATGAAAAAGAGAGAACAGAATGAAAGAGATAGATGAGAGAGAGAGAGATGGAAAGAAAGAGAAGGACAGTGTGTTGCCTGTTGAGAGAGGAAAAAAGAGAGAAGGTGAGAGGAGAAAAAGAGAGGGAGAGGCAGTGTGTGTGTGTGAGAGAGAGAGAAGGACAGAAAGAGAGAGGGGGTGAGAGAAAAGATGGAAGGAGAGAAAGAATGTGCATGAGAGAGCGGTAGAGAGAAATGAAGGGAAAGAGAGAAAGAGAGAAAGAGAGAGAGAGAACAAGACAGGGCACGAGAGAGGAGAAGAGGGTAAGAGAGAGACAGAAAGAGGAGAGAAAGAGAAGAGGGAGAGCATGTGAGAAAGAAATAGGGGGAGAGATACTGTGAGGGAGAGAAAGAGGGAAGGATAAAAAGAGAGGGAGAGAGTTTGTGAGAGAGAAAAGGAGAGAAACATAGAAAGACAGAGGGTGAGAGAGTGTGAGAGAGAAGGATAGAATGAGAGGGAGAAAGAGTGTGAGAGAGGGAGAGAAAAAGAAAGAAGCATAGAATGAAAGAGGGAGAGAGAGTGTGTGTGTGAGAGAAGGACAGAAAGAGAGAGGGAGAGAGAGAAAGAATTTATATGAGAGAGAGAAAGAGAGGGAGAGAAAAAGAGAATCATAGAAAGAGGGAGAGAGTGAGAGAGAGAGAGAAAGAGAGAGAAAAAGAGAATCATAGAAAGAGGGAGAGAGTGTGTGAGTGTGTGTGCGTGTGTGTGTGTGTGTGTGAGAGAGAGAGAGAGAGAGAGAGAGAGAGAGAGAGAGAGAGGAGAATAAAAATAGAGAGGGAGAAAGAGTGTGAGAGAGGGAGAGAAAAAAGAGAGGAGCATAGAAAGAGAAAGGGAGAGAGAGTGTGTTGAAGGAAGCGAGAGAGAAGGATAGAAAGAGAGAGAGTGTGAGAGAAGGAGAAAGAAAGTGTGAAACAGGGAGGGAAAGGGTGTGAGAGAGAGAAAGAGCGAAAAGGAGCGAAAGAGAGTTTGTGAAAGAGGAAAAGAGAGAGAGAGAGGAAAGGAGAAAGAAGAGAGAGTGAAAGAGAGAAATACAGAGAGAGAAACCGTAAAGCAGAACATCCTGAGGGAGTCAAAGTTTTTGGATACACGTCGGATATTTGGATGTCTATTCCAGCCAAGTGTTTTTCTACATGTCCAGGATGGAAGGATTTAAAAACAGCAGCAGAGCAGAATCAATTTAAAGATATTTTCAAGGTGTTTTTAGCATGTCTGTGTTTTGTTTGGTAGGTAAGAAGAGGAGAGACCATTTTGAGCTATAAAAGAAAATAAAATTGTGTCCAGAAAAATGATGTTCCAAATAGGAAACGAGCGTGGAAGCGATTCGGCTCCATCGATTCTGGCTCCAATGGACTTCAGTGGACAATATAAAGAGACCAATCAGGTGCCTTCTTTCCCCGAGGTCTGATCCCTCTAGGGCTAGCAGCAGGTTTGATTGACAGCTATCACGGCTGGTTGCTAAGTGCCTGTTCCCTGCCAAACCAGCGGCGTGGAAAGGGGTGAGTACTTTCGAGAGTCTCGCTCCCGATTCTCTCTTTGGTTGCTATGATACGCCCCCTCGGCTTTCCAAATATGCGACCCGGCTCCAAATTAGTCGCCTTAACTGCTGGCCTCGATTGACTTTATTCGGCTGGAGACGAGCGCGAAAGGCGACGTCACGCTCCCTTAGTCCAGTTCAATATACAGTCTGTGTTCTGGTTATGAAAAAGTGTTTGGTTAAAGGCGCTTTACCTGATTTATTGTCTAAAAATGTGAAAAATAATATTAGTTTACAGCAGTCCAAACTTATTCCTCACTTTCCTGTCACATTTATTCTAATTCTTCACAGTAATGACATTATAAGTTCTTTTCACAACTTTCCGAGGCCAGTGCGAAGTAGAGCACAGTCAGTCACAGTAAGGCCAACAACAACTATCATGCTAACAGTGCATCAGTGTGACTTCCAGGTTTGCGAATGATAAAAAATGCTTTATAATTAGATGCAAACAGCGCACAACGGTCTCATTTTAACAGATCTTTTTATGATCATATATTTACCGTCTGACTGCTCTATACTGCTGTTTCAAACCGCAAAGTATCAGCTCCTTCCCGGTCAAAAAGTACTCACATGTCAGGATGTTTGAGAGAGGGAGGAGACAGGCTGCAGGCCAGAACATCCTGAGGGAGGCAAAGTTTTTGGATACACGTCAGATATTTGGATGTCGATTCCAGCCAAGTGTTTTTATATACATGTCCAGGATAGAGGTTAAACTAGGGAGGATTTTACACTTACTTCTTACTCAAAGTCGAGAACTTCTGTGGCCTATACAGTGTTGCAATTTACCCAGTTTATATCATGAAAATAGACAGGCTTCTTGGGTTCTTTTAAAAGACAACACAGTAAAGTGTATTTACTTTGTTGACATGTTTCGGCTGCCAGCTGCAAGAGATAACCTTATGGATTGGGATGGGGCACGGATCATTGGATCGGAAAATGACAAGTTCATCAGGGAGGATCTGGATCAGGGAGGCCATTGAAATCAAGAAACGAGGCGTGGACAGCATTAAACGTGATGACAGAGCGTTCCTCCTTTTATACACCTGGGACACCCTCCTCCAGAGAACACTGGGTGACGGGAGGTGTGGTCAGTCTGAGCGACCTGCCAGGTCCATCAGTCTGACCACATCTACAGGGAGTAACAACAGCTGATATAGTTCTGAAGTTCTGAAGACGTCTTGCAGCTAGCAGCCGACACATGTCAACAAGGTAAATACACTTTACTGTATTGTCTTCAAAAAGAACCTAAGAATTTAAAGTACATAAGAGGACAGAATGAGCATTTTTGGTTTTATTCCAATAATAAATAAGAAACTACTTTAAAAATTAACTTTGTAACTTTTTGGTTGGGGCTCAGTCGCCTAGCCTGATTCATCAGCTGGTTTCACTTTGTAGAGACCGTCTGACCTTGCAGCATTAGGATTAATTCGCTCGACTGTAGGCGGGTACTTTTTTAATTTAACCAATCACTGCTATTTGGTTGTGACTTATGTAATGCGCCAGATCCCGTAGGAAGAACGGCAATAACGTCTTTCCCCTTGATAAAATTCACCAAACATTCTCTTTGTTTAAATCCTCGATCTTGGGAATCGTTGCCAAAACAGCATGTATGGCTTAGTCTACATCCATCTTGACCACTTTGTTTACTGTTGAGCTGTACCACAAAAGGGACCTAGACAGGCGCTTGAGTTTGGCGTCACGGCTTCACAGCTTTTCTCTGATTGGTCGGTGCGCGGTCTACAACTTCTGAGGTTCTTGCAAAACTGTTTAATCTATTCTGATTCCTGACATAGTCGCTGGAGAGAAATGAAACTGAGTGAAGATACTGAGTGTTTCTATGAATATGTCAATTGCTCTGACTGGAATGTTCCACAGTATGACATTAAACAGCTCTACCTTATATTTTTATTCAGTTACAGGTGGTTGTACGTGTAAAAATACCTAGAAAAACAGGCATTCTGAGTGTGAGCGGGTGAGCTGCAACTTCTGTAACTTGATCCGCTTTGGTCTTCATGAAGATAGAAAGGTGTAATGCCATACTGTGAAACATTTCATACAAAGCAATAACATCTTCATGAAGAAAAGACTCTTGACGGATTTTCTTTTACTAATGCAGGTGAATTTTTAATACCATCCTTTCTCAGTCAAGCTACCTTTTGTGATCAGCAGTGTCCATATTAAGGTAGTGTGTAATGTTGCTGTGTTTTTAATATGATTGTGTAACAGCTCCGTGTGCCTTTTGAATCGCCCCCTCAGGGATAAATAATGTGAAATTGAAATGAACTGCTTTTTGGCTAATCAGAATAGACACCCAAAGCGTACCAGAAACATCTATACTAGGTCACACTTGTTAAGAGCACTTTATACCAGGAGACTATAATTTAGTTTTTTGATTTTTAACAACTTTTCCAGCCATCCCACTCTTCTCCGAGGGCATACATACTGTTGTTATAATAATACGCCATAGAAATCACAAATTGAACTAAACAAAAACACCCACACTCTCTCCAGACACAACGACTGAAGCTTCTAATCTGCTGGATCAATTCAAACGTATTTCATCCCTTCTCCCCATTGTCTCAGCAGTGCTATATTTTCCAATCATATTTATTTTCATTTCAGCCTTTCGCTTACAAACAGCATCATATTTCGCCTGGAGGAGGATCAGGACTTGGGGATTGGTTTTGCGCGGAGCTGTCAAGTGCCCAATGCAGTCCTTGAGTAAAACATCGTATGCTTGTTAAAATCCTGACGGTCCTCTTTGTGTGATGGGTGACCTTGGGAGGGGAGGGCATCTTTATAGATCTGGGATATTAAGTGAGGAGGTGCGCTCTAGTGACACCTGTCTGCAGACTTTGACAAAGCGGCCGGCCCAGCTTATCTGCAGAGGTGTCACGTACAGAGGAAGACGTATAGGGCGGGCTGACGTCAAAGAGAAAGAAATGGGATGGGAGTCTGGAGTGGGCATAGAAATTATGCAAATGTTGCTTGTTGTACATCGTTTGAGTAGTAGTAGACAGCATTCATTTACTCTTAATTGAGCAATATATTGTACCGTGTAACAATACTTCTAGATCGAATGTAAAACCATGATAGAGGACGGTGGGCTTGCAATTATGCCCTCCACAGAGTAATCAGTCATTACAATGTGAGCAACTAAATCATAATAAGAGTGTAACATCATAGACAGCAGTATAACTACAGGGGCGGGTTGATGGCCTCTGAGGGCCGCTCAGGACCTGGGGCCCCACTGTCTGAACTGTCTTATGTTATGCCTCTAAGTGGCATAACTGATGAGCATTCACTCTTGAACTAGTTGTATAAATGGCAAAATCACTGTCAGACTACGTCCCACAGGCTGGATGCTTTTTAGAGACAGGGTGAGGAGCTCAGTCACACAGGAGGAGCTCAGAGCAGAGATGCTGCTCCTCTACATGGTGAGGAGCGTCTATTACGGAGACCTCCGGGACACCTCCCTAGGGGAAGAGGCCATGGGCATTCCCCCCCAGGAGGAGGCCCCAGGTAAGACTCACTGGAGGGGCTATGTCTCTTGACTGGCCTGGGATCACCTTGGGGTTCCCACAGAGGAGCTGGAGGAAGTGTCTGGGGTAAGAGAAGTCTGGGAGTCCCTTCTTAGATTGTTGCCCCTACAACCCAACCCCAGATAAGTGGAAGAAAATGGATAGATGGCGCTGTCAGACTACTCTGCTGGGAAGATCCCCTGACTAAAAACTGGGCTTCCAAACTAACAGTCTTTTATAGCATTACTAATATATTTATTTTCAAGTTTGAGCTTCAATAAAGAAGTTAAAAAACAAACAAAATAAAATAAAATAAATTGAAAAAATGCAGCCCTGTTGGTTGCTTGAGTAGAACTATGCCCTGAACATGGCTGAGGGCCTGTGTGTCTGTTACTCTATCTAACCACGGACAGCCCCCCGCTGTGCCTGTATGAGGAAGAGAAGCCCCCTCCTGTGCCTGGATGAGGGCTCACCGGTGCTGTCTGCGCGCTGCTGCTTTTCGATCCTCTCCAGGCGTCCCAACAGAGAGTCGATCCTGGTCTTGATCTGAGTCAGCTCACGTTTGATGGTCTGCAGCTGGTCCGACTTCACTGCTGAGACAACAAAGAAGGCAACAACACACTTTAGTCAACAGGACACTACAGCAAAGTATTAGTTATGTGTAAGAGTTAAAGGTTCTGTATTACGCAAAATGAACTCTTGTGAGCTTTTAGCCATGTTAGCATGCTGTTACCTCTTCAAAAACTCCTGGAGTTGTGTTTTGTTACCAGTGTTCAAAATACTCTGTTCCAGCTAGTGATGCCATGTATTAGTAGTTTTCAAGGTAACAGCTACCTTTTACCTTTGGTTCAGTAGAGATTCGCAAATCCAGGACTGAAATTATCCAAATGACTCTAATGAAGGTGTATTCTGTATAAGTACATGACATCACAAAGTAGTGTTTTCTGTTTGAGACAAGATCTCAGCCTAAATATGCAGGAATTGTGTGTTTAACATGTGTGAATGAAACAAAACACAACTCCAGGTATGTCTGTGATGAGGAAACAACATTACACATTACATAGATCATAATATGGGCCCTTTACTGTCTTATTTTATCTGTATTATTTGCCGTTTTATAATCCTTTCAGTTCCACACCCACACACAACTTTTTTCATCCTTTCTTTTTTTAAAACATAAATGGACTATTATGAGCTTTTAAACAGGTTATAATGGTGTTTCATCATCACTGGCTTACTCAGAGTTGTACTTTGATTCATGCACGATTGAGTAATCTTGTATTATTGTATCCTGCATTAGAGGCTGGAGTGGTAGAAAATACCTGTTTTCACTTCCCTGCTCTTCATAAAAAAAAAACTCATACAAAAATGTTCAGTGTTGTGTAGCTGTGTTTCAGAAATAATCATTTGATAAAAATGTTGGTATCTTTTTTATTATCAAGTTTCTATTGTTGCTATTTACAATTTTAAAAAAGTTATATTGTGATTGATATATATGACAGTTGATTACAAAGCACCAGAAATAAAGAGTACTATGTCATCTTTAAAGTGATACATTACAACTCCTGCGCATGAGACAGGTTTTCATGTTTTTATAATTCTGACTTGGTTTGACATTTATCATAGTTTTACATCAGTTAAATATCAGTTTGTGGAAAAAAGTTAAGAAAAGTACAAACACACAGGAAGTACTGCTGAGTTCTAAAACAGAATGCCTCTACATTTGTCATCAACACCTAAATTTCCATCCAAAATGCAGGGACTATTTACACACAAGGGACCACAGTTGTGTAGATCAGAAGTAAGTATCAGAACTGGAATTACCTCTGCTAATGTCATGTCTAGGAGGTAAAATAACAAACTTTACCAAAATTGCACCTTTACCAAAAATAGAGAAAACTAGGTAAGGTTATATGTAAATCTTTAAAGATGGGGTATGCAAACGATATTACTGTATTTCTTGGACTTCAAGGCGCACCGGATTATAAGGCGCAATATTAATTATGTTGAATTCTCTCATCTATTTCCATACATAAGGCGCATTAAGCGAAACAGACGGACGACTTGAGACTGATCCTTTAGCCCAGGCATCCATGATCCATTGGCAGGGACGCAACGCTGGACGAATTATGCCACGATCTGTCTTGGTGAATGTGGATTATGAATGTGAATATGGGTGGAAAATTTCAGTTCAAATCAAATATACATTGAGTAAGAATGCAGTAATTCAGCTTTGCGCATATTTGTTTACGTTTTACAGAAAAGAAACTTAAAACCACATGGCTAATTTGCATAAGATAAAAAACTCACTCCTCATTCACTCCATGTGCGCTGATGTCGTCAGCTTCTGTCGGACTAAAGGCTCCTCCGCGAGGCTCCTGACTATGGTAGCCGTAATGCTCCAATAATCCATCAAACTTCGTAGCTTACCAAAGTCCTACTAAAACATTTTGACAGATTTTTGAGCGCCGTGTACCACATAAAATCGGTTCGAGGTCAGTAACCACAACCAGAATTAATACATAAGGCGCACTGTCGATTGTTGGATTTTAAGTGCGTCTTATAGTCCAAAAAATACGGTCTTTGGAGCATTCTATCGCATGATAACTTTGCTCCTTCATCAGTGACATGCCAGAATTGGTTTGAGATGTCATCCATGGGTGTTTGAGTAATTTAGCGATCTCTCCCAGGCCCTATTTGAACCCTCCTTACTGTTAGCTGTAAGATTCTGTGCAACGCCCCGCCCAAAAGCCTACGTCATTCATTCTCTCACATGACACTTCTCTATAAATATACAAACGGATGATACAACTTCACAAACCTGATCCGATGTGTAGTAGTTTGTAATGTGATAGTGCTCTTAAGGGGGAAAGGAACCCAGAACATCAAAAACTAAACTGAAACTGGTTAATACGCTCTTAATAAAATCTTAATACGTTATTTGCTGAGACTATAGAATTTTCAAAACAATAACAGGTAACACGGTGATCTAAATATGTTGCTTTATCAGTAAATATCCCATAGAAATATAATACGCCCTCTTTAATGCGATTATACTAACTACGTTTTAAGGCAAAGTGTTTTCTAACCTGTCATACTCGAAGCATTCAAGACCTTATCTCCTAATTCCACGTCAATCTTAGCGGCCACGTTATCAGCCACCTCCTGCTCTGACTCTGAGATACCGTCGGCTCTCAGGTTCGCGTCACCCTCGTCGCCGTCATCTGGACTCGCTCGCCCATCTGCAAACCGGGGCGCGCTGTCTGCTTGCAATTTGGAGATTAGCAGCCAGCTTACGCCCACCCCGCCACGCACCGCCGCTACAGCCGTGTTCGATACTGCCAATGTGCGGATGCTATCTGTGAGCTGCCAGATGTGACGCTTGTAAAACTCTGGGATTTTCAACCACTCATGTCTGTCCCACTCAATATTGTAAATACTGTTGGCTGGAGGTTTTGAGCAGGGAATTAAGCATGTTTGAGTCTTAAACAGGGGTAAAGGGTAACAAGCGTCGTGGCGGTGCGGGAGTAGTTACGAAGTGGCCAAGCATAAAGGAGTTTTATGGATTTAACATTCGTGTTTGTTTTAAAGGCCCATATTACGTTATTTTCTAATTTATGTTATAATGTTGTTTCCTCGTCGCAAACATATTAGGAGTTGTGTTTTGTTTCATTCACATATGCTTAACACACAAATCCTGCAAATTTAGGCTTTATTCCACCTTGTGATGTCATGTGGTAATACAGGAAGTGCTTCAAGGTGTTTGTAAACCCAATACAATTTAACTAGAATCATTTGAATGAATTCAGACCTCGAATTGCCAATCTCTACCACCACCATAAAGTTGCAAATTAAACTAGAATAATGAAATAGGAGTAGCAGACTTAGTAACAATAATAATATGTGTAGTAGTAGAAGTAACAGTAGTAATAGTAGTAGTAGTAGTAGTTTAAATGGATATAGGTTTCAATATTAGCTTTAATTTTCTTCTGACTAGTGTTCATCTTAGCATAAGTATAATAATAGTTGAATATTATATACCTATAGTCTGGATGCAGACTTGGTTTGGTTCTGGTCTAGTCCTGGTTTAGTCCTGGTCTAATCGTGGTTTAAATAGTGGTCTAGTCCTGGTTTAGTTCAGGTTTGGTTTCAGGTTTGGAGTTTGGTTTCAGGTTTGGTCAGGTTTGGTCTAGTCCTGGTTTAGTTCAGGTTTGGTTTCAGGTTTGGTTTCAGGTTTGGTTTCAGGTTTGGTCTAGTCCTGGTTTAGTTCAGGTTTGGTTTCAGGTTTGGTTTCAGGTTTGGTTTCAGGTTTGGTTTCAGGTTTGGTTTCAGGTTTGGTTTGGTTTCAGGTTTGGTTTCAGGTTTGGTTTCAGGTTTGGTTTCAGGTTTGGTTTCAGGTTTGGTCTAGTCCTGGTTTAGTTCAGGTTTGGTTTCAGTCCTGGTTTGGTTCAGGTTTGGTTTCAGGTTTGGTCTAGTCTTGGTTTAGTCCTGGTCTAATCGTGGTTTAAATAATGGTCTAGTCCTGGTTTAATTCAGTTTTGATTTCAGGTTCGGTCCTTGGTACATTGTTAATTACAGGTACTAAAAAGCAATTTGCGCATTTACTCCTGAACTAGAAAATGTTCGATCTACTAGACATGCTTCATCTCTTTATTATCGTGGATTTAGCAATGCCTTGAACCAGGATTGACTGTAAGTAACTGTAGTATAGTTTGTGTCTTTATTCCTTGGAGGACTTTTGCTGAGAAAGTTACTGCATAACTGTTGAACTTGACTTTCCTTCCATAATGCTTCATCGAGAAAGCATTAAGTAGGAGTTAATGGAAACTATTAGTGCGATTTTTGTAATGGGAAATAAGAGGCATTAGTGCGCTGAGGAGAGAGAAAAATACGTACGTCATAAATTTGTGACTCTTCATCACTGACTATAAGATGTGTACAGAACTGTTCAGTAATTTACTTGAATCAACATGTTAACTTCACACCTTATTTAGACATATTTAGATCCCCATGTTACCTTTAATTGTTTTGAAAATGCTATATTCAACTTTTGAATATTGGATTGTAAGAAGGGTTCGAATAGGGAGAGAAAGCCTGATTACTCAAACATGCATGGATGATAATTAAAACCACTCCAGGGATGTTTTTGATGAGGAAACGGCGTTATAACATGGTAGAAAGCTCCAAAAAGATGAATTTGCATAATACCCCCTTTTAGACTTGGAACTAATGAGATCTGCCCAATCAAATGCAAAGAGATTACAGACGATCTCACAACATTTCTACAAAGTCATAACAAGAATTACAAGAATTTCCAAAAACCTTCAGATCAGCCTTGAGAAATGTGTTCCCAAATTCTTCTGTTGTACCTTTTAACTGTGGCTGTTTCATAATACGAGGCTAAAATCCTGCTAACGGAGCATACAAACAGATGAAACCCAAGTATTTCTTATGCTCACTGAAATCTCTAAAGGGGGACAGAAATGTTTTCATTATAACTCAAATGAATACAGTTTTCACATTTGCAATCATCGTAATTCGTAAAGCTTTGAAGTAGTGGAAGTGCTAAAAATATTGTTGACCTTGGCGTCTT